AACTGGAGCAAATTTTCGGAAAACCCCCCGGAAAAAACCCAAAAAGGGGTTTAAAAAGGGTTATTTTTGCCCCCCAAAAAAGGGAGGGGGGGGAAAAGGGGGCCCCCGGGGGGTCAAAGTTTGTCCCCCCCCCCCCGGGGGTGGGGTTTGGGAAAAAGGAAACCCTTTGGGGGGCCCGGGGCCCCATAAAAACCCGGGGACCCCCCCCCCCCCCCCCTTTTTTTTGGTTTTAAGAGGGAAATGTAGCAGCGTTTTTAAAAAAAACCCCCCCCTCCCGATTGGGATTTTACCCCGGGGGGCCCCCCCCCCCCCCTCCAAAAAAAAAGGCTTTCAGGTCACGCCGGTACACCATGTTTTTTCTCCTCGCTCTTCGCTCATGTCGCCAACTCTTTTCGGCTTGAGTCTTGAGCAACAACATTCATGACACCCAAAGCCGTCGCCCGATCCTCTTCTTGGAAACCACCTTTGTTCCCAACCATTCTTCTCTATTTACTGCCCCGACATAAGCACTCTGCCCCTCTTCCTGTGAAAATCGCTCTCAACATCTGGGTCGCAAAGGCTGTGCTGATGCTCTTTCTCACCAGTCAAAAGGCTCGGCCGTTCGGCGAAGAGCCCAGCCAAAGCGAAGAAAACCTAGACTATCGGTAGACCCTTGCTTGGGGACTGCTTTGGAGGCCGGTAGTAGGAAGCTTATGTTTGTGGTGCTTAAACTCTGTATCATCGGTGATACGCACATGGGTACAAGGTGCTACTGCTGACACCGAGACGACAGCACGAGAGGCAGAGAGAGAGAGAGAGAGAGAATTCTACACTCCACCGGTGTATGGCCATCTCTACGCGCGCGGGCCCCCCTGATTGGCTGACAATTAACGTGATGATGGCAAACAAACTAAAAAAAAGTAGACCCCCCCCCTCCCGCCGGTGTTTGCCATCGGGGTCGGGTTTTCGTCGCTTGGCACAACGTTGTAAAACAAGCCCCCCCCCAGGTGTTTGCCATAGGGGTTGGGTTTTCGTCGCTTGGCAACGACGTTGTAAAACAAGCCGATCACTTCGTGAGCTCGGCAACCAGGTTACGGTTTTTTGTTGCCTTTGTTTCTTTTGGTATTGCGGTAACCATAATGATGGTGGTCGACTAGATTATGTTGTGCGGGGTCGAGAACCCTCACTCCGCGCAAGGGGGATGATCGGCTGTCATCTGTATGCAAGGAAGTAAGCACAAGACGCCGAACACCATTAGCAGGATGCAGCGCACCCTTCATGCGACTCGCCGAATACCTCATGGCGCTTCGTGCTTGGTGATGTGAGAGCCTGGTCCGGTGAGAACCCGACGTGCTCCGTCCCGGCTTTGTAGGGATGCGAGGTCAATGGTCTAACGACTACGGCATGCACGACTACGAGTACACCCCCCCCCCCCCCCCCCCCCCGGGACCCAAGGGGAACC